GTGACTGATATTTATAAGAATGCAACAAAATGCCGCTTCTCCGGGAGATTTCATATCTCTTATGATTGGAAAACCCAATATATCAACTACTACAGATTCAATAAGTAAGACGATAAAGTAGAGAATAAGTGAAATTAATGAAAGTGCTTCGAAGTGTTTGTTTAAGGAGATTTGTTCTTCGCAAGAGCTTTTCTTGTATTCGAAGTACAGTTTTCTTCTTTTAAATATGCCGAAAAGAACGGCACAAGACAGATAAACAATAGAATATATCAATCTGATAAAACTATTGCCGGTTCCGTAAACGTATACCCACTCACTGCAGGTTACGCCTTCGAAAATGGTTTCCAGAAACTGTCGAATTGTGATAGTCCACAAGAAAAGTTGTACCGTATTTTCGTAACACCCGTAAGCTTTGTCCAGGAAGAAACGAAATTTCGGTTTTCTTTCGTTCTTCTGGCAGTTGCAGTCCATAATTATATTCGTGGCGAAGACTTTGGCCGCTCGAAGAACAAAGTCGATCTGACAAACCGGACACCCGGCAGTTACATCCGAATCCATTATCAATTGTAATGGAAGTAAAGAATGTTTTGGAGCTAATACTGATGTTTAAACACCGACATACGTTTGTTCAAATGGTAGACGTACACGAATGACGATTATTTTATAAGACTGAGCAGTAGAGAATTTCATCCAAGCGCAGCACTTAGAAAACTAATTACGTATTGATTCGGTTCGATCTGAAACAGGCGTATCCATCGATATTAGTACAAACATTGCGTGCTGATAACTCGGGAATTTAATTAAGTATAAAATTTGCATCGTATATTAAAAACAATGCGATTTATATTCAAAATATTTTAAGAGGCGGAAGATTACTGAACTTAATTAAAATTCATATCGATTTGTCCCTTTTACGATAATTATGTGTACTTAGTGGAAAGCTTATGCGAAAATATTTTAGTCAATTAAAAGCTTTCCTTAGTTTTAAAGAATGTCGAAGATTTGAATATTTCTCCAGTTATTAAGATATAACAGAAATAATCGCAGATTGGAAATGCATATTTTGGAAAATAAATAAAATAGGGGAGAAAACGCGGTAACCGGGTTCGCATCCACCGCATTGGCTGTAAACGACAGAAGCTCTTGCCTTTCCCCCTTTAAGGAATAAAATGGCAGACGTTCGGTATTAAATAATTTTATTAAACAAACGATTTGGCTTCCGACGATAACCAAAGTGGAAGACGATTTCCGGTTCTACAAAAGTCGGCCCTTGGGACCGTCGTTCTTCCTGTACAAAAGGCGACGCGCCGTCCGCCACGCGTCGCGCCAGAGTCCGTTAAGCGAGTTTGTCGTGGACGATTGGTTGGAAGTTTTGAAATGCGGTTGTATACAGGAAGTTATCGTTTCAGATTTTTCATGTCATTGCAATTATGAGCGTGCAATAACATGAAAAATTTTAAAAACTAATAAGTAGGTTTCATGTTAATAAATACAAATGTATTCTGGAAGTTTATAAGTTAATTATAATTTCTGTTTTCTATATCCTTGTCGAGCACGAATGCGGTCACTGACGTTCACCGTCGCACCAATAGGGCGATCACCGATCCTAAATCGGTAAAATGTTTATTCAATAGCTGATATTCCTGTAAAGTAGCCTATACTTTTTTTCTGAACATAAAATGAATACAGTAGACCCCTATAAAACGGGTTCCTATAATTACGATTCCTATAAAACTGCGAAAAAATTGCGATGGTATCCGTAAAAAACGGTAAAAAAAAACTCCTATAATTACATAAAACGTCATCGGGCAGCCGAACTATTTTCCGCTGTCAAGCGCTACGCTACGGAGATATTACTATCGTCTGTACAGTATTATATATAAATTAGGTACTGTACATATAATTATATATTAATTATATATAAATTAGGTACTGTATATATAATTATATATTAACTTAATTTATTGTAACTTTATTATAATTATATATATATTTTTTGCCGCCTGAGAGTTTAGGCAAACTATCGTCTGTACAGTATGTAAATTAGGTACCGTAAGTCTAATACAGCACTGTGATTTTATACATTTCTTGTGAAAGAAACATTTCTTATTCAACGGCCATAAAAATTATTTATATTAATGATGTCTCCAAAGTTCAGCGAAGTTTTCGCAGAAAAATAACATCAGAAATCGCGGCCGCAGTTTGTTGAGCTGTTCCAAGAGGGCGCTAAACGGCTTAGTCAATGAATGCAGGAAAATTTTGCTCTGTATTCGAATTGAGTTTTTGCTGAAATTTTCACTTTAAGCTCTAAGTGTTATATATTTCTGGATAGCATTTTCCGTGTGGATTAAGAATCTGTTAAGTTTTTCAACGTACGTCAATTTTTCGCGAAGTTATTAGTTTTTGAAAACTGAATACTTTTAAAATCTTCAACATTCTTCTACAACGACTGTCGCCATAATAACGGTCCATAAAAGATTCCAGAATTTTTACCGGAAGTCGTATGTTCTTTCTTCATATTATTCTTTTTTTGGAAATTATTAATTTTAGAAGTTATTATACTCACAAGTCAGTGATGGCTATTGAAGAATTTCTGGAGAAAACTGAGGAAGCCATTGAGGATTTAAAGAGATATTTCCGTAATAANTTATCCCAGTTTCGGACTCCACCACTTCACTACTGACTGCTTTCTCTCTCTCTCTGACCGTTTTTTCTCGCTTTTACACCCTTCCTTTTACGATCCTTTGTCTACATTTCTTATTGCCATTTACGACTACATGCAAATGGTTGCACATGGACCGACAAAACAGCAGTGAGAGAGACAATATCGCTACACCCCCGACGCAAGATAATTGTTAGGGTGGTAACCCGAACACGGATCTGGACTAAACTCCTTAAGAGAGATGGAATTTTGTTGGACGCCCGAAGAGGAGAGGGGGGTTGACTTGGACATACTGGAATAAGCGGAAAAGGGAGAGTAAAAATTTCAAAAAAAACGTGCCCTCTGGGTTAGAATTAATATTAAAGGTCTACCGTATTTTTATATATAATATGTAAAACAATGTCTCTGGTTTGAAGTACAGTATTTTTATTTACTCCAAATGATTTTATACGTTTTAATTGAAACTTTTGTATGTAATTTTCCTTTTAGCTCTTGTGAAAAGTCGTTTCTTTTTTATGTGTAAAGATAAATTCCCTTTCTTTAGGCGTCTACATCAACGTAGGATGGCGGGTAGAATTAGAAACATTAATGTTACTAAATTTTGGTGGTTATTGGTCGACTCGGTGGGGAGATACAGGATTCTCGTGTGTCATATATCGAGTAGGGTCTGAATTAATGACGATTTTACAGGATTTTTTTTATAAAACCCATTCTTATTCTCAAAATTACGCTTTTTGCCATTTTATAATGATTAAAAATGTAAAAGTTTGGTTAATGTTTAGGGTCGTAGACTGTCATGGCGGCTCTTCCTGTTTTAGCCTCGAAACCGGACCGCTTTGGAGACGACGTGTCACGTGACGACGCGAGCGAACGGTGGCAGCTACGCGAGCGAACGGCGGCGGCTGCTGCGCCGCGATAAACGGGGAAAACCGACGCGCGGATTAACGTCCATATACGTAGATTCATGGCGGCTCATCTCTGATTTCGCAAAAAGAAAAGGAAACAGTGGGGACGCACGTTCTAACCTAACCTAACTTATTCTAATAATTTAATCGGTAATAATTGTGGTAATTTATTAGAATAGGTTAGGTTAGGTTAGAACGTGCGTCCCCACTGTTTTCTTTTTTTTTCTTGGTTAAAGTCCAGACACGTGGATTGCCATGGCGGCTGACCTCTGATTCCGGCAAAGAAAAGGAAACAGTGGGGACACACGTTCTAACCTAACCTATTCTAATAATATAATTGGTAATAATTATGATAATTTATCAGAATAGGTTAGGTTAGGTTAAAACGTGCGTCCCCACTATATCTGGACTTTAACCAAGAAAGCAAACATTGGGGACGCACGTTCTAACCTAACCTAACCTATTCTGATAAATTATCATAATTATTACCAATTATATTATTAGAATAGGTTAGGTTAGAACGTGTGTCCAAACTGTTTCCTTTCGTTTGCTGGAATCAGCGGTGAGCCGAAAAGCGCTGCCGCGGCGCAGCAGCCGCCGCCGTTCGCTCGCGTCGTCACGTGACAGGTCGTCTCCAAAGCGGTCCGGTTTCGAGGCTAAAACAGGAAGAGCCGCCATGACAGTCTACGACCCTAAACATTAACCAATAGTTTTTTTTTAAATGAAATACCGTAAGAGATAGACCCACATTTTAAACTTCGAATGATTGAATAATGTTATTAAAACCTTGCCAAGAGTCTGATCTCGGTCTACACCAGACTCGAATGCGCCAATTACGTGTTCCGTCCAAACCGTGCTAATGTGGCCAACGACAGATTGATCCTAATGTCCGAAAATTTAAATATACTCAAGCAAACAAAACCAGAAAACGAGCCGAAGAAAGATAAATTATAATAATGTGTACCCAATCGGGAACACCGAATGTAGATAGACAGTGCGACGTTTTGGTTGAGTTGACCATAGTAATTTAGGAACCAGCCAAACAACAAAGACTACGTAGAAAAAAAAATGTTCTCTGAATTGGCCAAAATAAAATCTTACATTAGGATCCGAGAATGTCGTTAATACATCATAGCATTAATGCAAGGTATTCAGTCGCAAATACTACAACGTTCCATAGGAGGAAGACATGCCGCCTCTAAATCAAGAGATCGAGAAATCACTGGATCTTTTTTAACTTCGATTTTCATCAAAACGTTTTCTCTCTTTGCTCCATAAAAATTCAATTATTCACACAAACAGTATTATAAAAATCTTCGAGGAACACATTGCAACGTCCTTTGTCAGATCAAAATACAACTAATTTGCATAATTTAGAGCATGAATGACTTTCCTCCCCTTAGTATGAAGTGTTGTAAACTAACTTCATTGCGGGAGAACGTAGACTTAACCTTATTAATTCAGTTTGTTCTTTATAAACGAAAACAATATTTCAAGTATAATAATATTTTTCTTAACAACTCGCCAATAATCACGAGGAAATCGACTCATTTGCATGTAAACCCAAACGTCTTCGACTTAAACGTTTGCAAACCGGCAAATGTAGTGAGAAGGAATCAAATTTCCATTGTCTTCCTGTTTATTTCTTTAAAATTTACATTAGTGTAATTTAGTAGAAAGGAAAATGCCAAATGTACAAGGCCAGGAAGTATTCAATTCAGACGAAGTGACTATATTCAACGACAATGAAGAATCGATGGTGGTGTCGCGAACCTCCTTGATAAAGAAGGGCGGATTACTAAAATATTCCGTAGCGGTGTGGTCGAACGAAAGAAAGCTTATTGTGAAGTTACCTCTGACACTGAAAATGCTACAACAATTTGCCAGGTTTGTACAAATGTATTCCGCGAAAGTTACAGTAGACCCCCTATAACACTGTTGATTATTCCGTTTCATATGAATTCCATGTTGTACGAGTCACTTAGATTTTACAAATACGTGTGCCGGGATGTAAACGCCTCACCTATTTGTAAAATCTAAGTGACTCGTACAACACGGAATTATCTACAGTGTTATAGGTGGTGTCTACTGTATTTATTTTCGGGTAGCCATTAAATGTTCTGTCGTTTGTTTCAGCTTTCTGGAGAAGAAAGTTTTTAAGTTTACTTCTGCGGATAACGGATTCAAAATGTACTTATTCGCCAAACGTTACTTTATTAGCAGACTAGAAAAAATGTGCCTAGATTATTTTAAAAGGTCGATTTCTACCGGAAACGTCTGTCGTATCCACGATTTAGCCTGCGGGCGAGACGTAAAACAATTGCAATACGAATGTTACTCTCAATTTAGTTTCTCCGATAAAAATATATTCCGTACCGACGATTTCAAATCGTGCCAAGACACTACTATTTACAAGTTACTGACCTGCCCCATTTACTCCGAATTGAAGGAATTCGATTTGTATATGGGACTTCGAACGTGGATGGAAAAAACATATCTTAAATTGAAGAAAACGAATACTATTATATCGAGGAGAGACATTATAAAACCTTTTCTGCCATTGATCAGATTTTTCGCTATAAAACCGGAATTCTTAAAACACATAGTAGAAAACTGTGAGAAAGCCGAGATTTTAACGGAAGAAGAAGTTCGATCGATAAGAGAATTTCTCACTGGGAAAAATGTAGCCCACCTCCCGGTAACGATTTCTGCTAATGTTCAATCGCGAGAATCTTATCGCTTGTTTACTGCCACCAACTTTGTCAGAAAAGAAACAATTAAATGGACGAATGGGGACTTCCAGTTTATGGCCGATATGTGGGTGCCTAAAATCTGTACGGTGAATGCCATCGAACTGCCAATAACCCATTTTAATTCTAAAGGGATAAAGGTTTTGTTCGGTACGAAGTCGACTTATTCGCACGATTTTCTATACGAGAGGGGCCTCTGCGATAAAGAAGGAATTGTGCGTTTAAAAAACGTGAAATTATTACCCGCCCGTAGCTTTCACATATTTACTGTTAAAGTTCCGAGAGAGGAAATTCGTTCCAATATCATACTGTTTTTGGAACATGCCTACGGATACGTTCCGATATACGATTTTCCATACTCGGCTATGAGAAGTGAAGAAGAAGGAACGATATTTCAGTGTAGACATTACTTCGTTTTCTAAAAATATTTTTAATGTTGTCTCCTGTAGGATACTCGAAGTGTTTTTTAGCTGTAAAGTTTTTATAATTTGTAACCAATTTTATGTTTGTTTTATTTATTTACAACCTCTTCTAATTATTTAATTTATAATTTGTTTTAATCTTTACTGCGACAAAGAATATTTGATAATAAATGTCATTGAATTAAAACACGTAACTGTATACAAATTTGTTCCTTTCGATACAGGGTAGGACAACCGTTTCTCCTATTAGACAACCGTCAGCCGTTTCATACTATATGAGACGGGACTCGACACATCAGGTAAGATTGCCCTGGGTACGCTCGTAGACAGAAACCACTGGGTCCAGAAAGCTCAAATTTTAAACGTAAACCTTTCTCGTTGTGAGTGAGGTCCTGGCAAAACTTCCGTGTCTATAGGTCAAAGTTCGCGGGGGTACCCCACGGAGCAATTTCGCTAAATTATATGATAATAGGCCTACATATAAATGGATTATGTATGTTATCCCGAACAGTATATATATCTATTCTTTCCAAATGTTTCTGCCCTGGTATTTCTATCACACGGTGTGGTAGTCACCTACGAGTATGTTCCGTCTATAACAGTGTTTCTTAACCTCTAACGAATCGTCGCCCCCTTCAATAAAACCGTTACGTAGTATCGCCCCCTTCACTTCAAAACTCCGATGCCGAGGGCCAAGGCTAACGCCAAATTCGTACTGCATTGAATAGACTAGTGACTAGTATAATGTTTTGTTTAATTATTTTACGATATAACGAATAAAATATCTAATTACTGTTAATATAATGTTTTACTATATCGCCCAGAAAATTGTTTTTTTCGCCCCCAAAATATAAATTGTTACTAATTGCCCCCTCAATATGGAAAAACGCCACCACGAGGGCATTATCGCCTCCGTTGAGAAACACTGGTCTATAAGGAGTTATCATTTTATAGACAGAAACGTTTACGTAAACTGTATAAGGGAATTTATATACGTAATGTAATTATATATCGCGTAATTTTCATTTTCTGTTCTGTATATAATTATTAATAATTCAAATGATAAATACAGTGGTCGTGTCCTTTATTGTCCATACCGTAATAGATTAAACAGTGACAGAAAAATGTGGTAAAATTACACCTTAATTTTTGTTTTAACAGACACACATTCGATAGTAATTCGCGAAACACATAGAATTATTTTTTGCCGATCGATACAAGAAGCGCTATAAACAAAAATCATAGCACTACTACTGACTCTTCGACGTTCCAGCCGCCATTGCTTAATTAAGGTCATTTCAATGGTGGAGTATCGCAATCGAATAATCAGAATGCATTGACAGAGGAGACGTCTAAAGAAATCTCCTCTCGTGTGTTGAAAATACCCGAAGTTCTACTACACATATTTAAATATTTAGACGATCGGGACAGTGTGGCCAAATGTGTACAGTCGACCCCCCTATAACGTGCGTTCCTATAACGACAATTCCTATAACGTAGCGAAAAAATTGTAGCAACATTCGTATAAAGTACCTCCTATAACGTCGTTTCGCGACAAGATTAATAGAATCTGGACCAACAGTGGATGAGTAGCCGAACTACTTTCCTCCAACCTTGCGCCACGCTACGGAGCGGATAAATTGAGTTTGATATCGTCTGTACAGTATTATATATAAATTATATATAAATTAGGTACTGTACATATAATTATATATTAATTATATATAAATTAGGTACTGTATATATAATTATATATTAACTTAATTTATTGTAACTTTATTATAATTATATATATGCTTTCTGCCGCCTGGCAACACGCTACGGAGATTTTAGGCTAGTAAGTTGAGTTTATTATCGTCTGTACAGTATGTAAATTAGGTACCGTAAGTCTAATACAGCACTAATTTTATACATTTCTTGTGAAAGAAACACTTCTTATTCAACGGCCATAAAAATTATTTATATTAATGATGTCTCCAAAGGTCAAGTTATTTTTATGCGAAAAATTCGTTATTAGAAATCGCGGCCGCCGTTTAATGTGCTGTTCCGCGATGAAAACCAGCTTTAAGCAACGGCGTAGTCGAACGGTACACACTCGGTAAGTAATCCTATAATTTTTTGTTTATAGCATAGTTTATACAGATTATTCCCAAAAAATTATACTTGTTTTGGAAATGTTGAGTGGAATTAGTCTAGAATCGGTTAATTTTATAGAAGAAAACCTTTCAAACAGCCTTAGTTCATAAAGTTCACACCTATCGGGCTGCGATTGGCTCATGTATTTAATCATTCCTACAACGTAAAATTCGATTAGCGTGGAATGTATCTAAGCGTTATAGGGGGGGGTCTACTGTACTTTATGGAAATTGGAGAAAACCCGGAAATCTCCAATTTCCGGGTTTTCTCTACGTCTGTAACACCTGAATAGAAGCCAGTTACCCTTAAAAGACTTCCTGGAAGGCATCCACCTAGCCAAGTGTTTCATTGCCGTAACTTAACAAAATAAACAACATAGGAAATCATTGTGAAAGAGGTAAACGTTGTCTTTAGATAGAAAGTTTTTTATTGTATTCAAATTTTACAAATGTCGGTGCCATCAAGTATACAGGGTAGGCCAACGAAAACGAAACGGCAGAGTTATCGTGTTTGTCCAAACAAATCGCTCGGACAGGTCGATTTTATTCTCAAGGGGGACATCTTGTGCAATAAAGTTTTTGCGATTCTGAGTACAACAGACAACAAAAAAATTTAAAAACTCATTCATTTTTTATTAACTAAACAACATATGCGGTCCAGCTTATGCAAGAAAAAAATATTTTTTCTTTGCATATGCGGTCCAGCTTAAAAGGTTTTTTAATGTTTGTTAATAGTTTGTGTTACTTTTTTTCCAAAATAAATGTTTGTTTAGTTAATAAAAAAATGAATGAGTTTTTAAAATTTTTTGTTGTCTGTTGTATTCAGAATCGCAAAATCTTTATTGCAGAAGATGTCCCCCTTGAGAATAAAATCGACTTGTTTGAACGATTTGCTTGGACGAACACGAAAACTCTGCCGTTTCGTTTTCGTTGGCCCACCCTGTATACAAATTGTAGCTTATTTTAAACATCGCTGATGGTCAAAGTTGATTCACAAACAAAAGTATTTCATAATGTTTAAGTAAATTATGTTTAAATGATGTTTAAGTAAATCTATTCATCAACATTCTATTATTGTTATGGTAGTTCTGCTATTAGTTTTTAATTAAAGTAAAAAGGATCATAGAATGATATAAAAGGAATTGCGTAATTAACAATATTTTTCAATTGTTTAGCAAATTACAGGAGAAAGTACATCAAAACCTTTTAAAATCTCGGAAAAGAGTGAGATGCACTCTTCTGCCGAAATGTCAGCAGCGAGTTCGGTACAAGAGGAACATCTTAAAAGAAACCAGAAAGATAAATCTTTGCAATTTTTTGAAAAATTATGGCAATGTCACCAATGTCGCTTTACGACACACTCCGATAAAGAATGGTACCTACATAAACAGACACACGTCGACGAAGCCCCTTGCACGTCAAAGGTATTTAATTGTTGTATTCTGTTTAAAAGTTTTAGTATTGTATAAATAAACATTCAGTTTAAGTTAGAAAAAACACCAGCACACCAGTCCTTCTATACTATACAGTAGAACCCCTCTAGTCCGCCCTCGGCTAGTCCGTCACTCCGGTTAATCCGACCGTGGTCAGACTCGAGAAACTTGTCCCGACTCGTCAGTGACTCACCGTCCGTGGCGTTCTTCTGTGTTCATTACAGTATATGTTTTACATTGTGTGTGTTTTCAACATGTCAGGAGTGAAACGTAAACACGTTACTCTTTCATTAAATGAAAAATTAGCAGTGCTACAAAGACTGGACAAAGGGAAAATGGTTTATTTTACTTTTTTCTGATAATCCGACCTTTTTTGCGTTCCGACCATACCCCCGTCCCAAAGGTGACGGATTAGAGGGGTTCTACTGTAATTTACTCGCTCACCAGCCATGGCGGGCGAGTAAATTATAGTACAGGAAAGTTAATTTGTAGTTTATAAAATCGAATTTCTCACAGTTTTATAAATAAAATGCATTTCAATATACTTATTGTATATATGTTATTATTGTATATATAATAAATATCGAAAAAATATCTAAATAAAGGGAACTTTTAAGAGTTCTGGCATCAGTTAAGAATCATCAGTTACGGGTTAAGAATAGTGGAAGATTTGACAGTAAGACTGTTGATGTCTATACAGTTTACATTACATAGACTACAACTACTGGAAGTTTTAGAGGAAACAGTCATCGTGATAATAAATAGGATAAATAAACATCGTCGCAGGATAAGGCTTTAAGTTTCACTTTATGCCTTAATATCGTAGCCCTACATTCATCTCGTTGAACGTTAGAACACGTTTGAACAGTGTCAGCGAAGGAAATTTGAGGCACGAAGTAAAGCTGGAAGTTTATTTCTCTGAAGGTGCTCATTTTTCCGATTTATTATCATGACGAGCGCTTTCTCTGAAGATTCTTGTAGTTGTGATCGTCTAGATCAGGGGTGGCCAACACAAGGCCCGCGGGCCGCATGCGGCCCACCGGGAGTCATGTTGCGGCCCGCGGAACTAGGTCAAATGAACATAAATGTTAAAGTTATTGTACATATCACCAAATGAACATTAGAAGAGTTCAGAAGGTTTGGAAGAGTTCTATGAAACGTATTTGGACAAGGATAAATATCCTGCGTTTTACAAACATGCTCTGTCGATGGTTTCGCTATTTGGAAACACTTATGCGTGTAAACAGCTTTTTAGTCTCATGAAGTACATCAAATCACAAGTGAGAACACGAATTACTAATGTTCATTTGGAAAACTGTTTGCGTGTAGCGACAACATCAGTCCAGATGAATTTTGATGCACTTAGTTCTGTAAAATAAAGTCAGATGTCTCACTTTTAAATATTTTTAAATTGTCTAATAAATATGATTCTCGGTTATTAAATAAATGATTTTCGGTTATGTTTTATTTTTTTTCAAAAAAATAAATATACCTATTTTTTGTGTTTTTTTTACATTAACCCACGTGTTTGACCACGATCTCACCTACTGGAAAGCAACGATGTGGTTGAAGCGGTAGCACGCTTGCTTGTTTACTTTAATTAACAAAAA